AGCCCTGTCCCAAGGGTCCCTATGGCTCTCTTGTCCCCAAAGTGTCCCTGTGGCTCTGTCGTCCCCAAAGTGTTCCCATGGCCCTGTCCTGTGCAGTCTCCATGGCCCTGTCCCAAGGGTCCTCATGGTTCTGTTGTCCCCAAAATGTCCCCATGGCCCTGTCCTGAGGGGTCCCTGTGGCTGTGTCACCTCCAAATTGTCCCAACAGCCCTGTCCCAATGGGTCCCTCAGGCCCTGTTGTCCCCAGAGCGTCCCCGTGGCCCTGTCCCAAAGTGTCCGCATGGCCTCGACGTCCCCAAAGTGTCCCCATCGACCTGTCCTGTCACCCCCAAAGTGTCCCCGTGACCCTGTTCCAAAGGGTCCTCGTGGTTCTCTTGTCCCCAAAGTGTTCCCCGAAGCCCTGTCCCAAGGGTCCCTATGGCTCTCTTGTCCCCAGAGTGTCCCTGTGGCTCTGTCGTCCCCAAAGTGTTCCCATGGCCCTGTCCTGTGCAGTCTCCATGGCCCTGTCCCAAAGGTCTTCATGGTTCTGTTGTCCCCAAAACGTCCCCATGGCCCTGTCCTGAGGGGTCCCTGTGGCTGTGTGACCTCCAAATTGTCCCCACAGCCCTGTCCCAAGGGGTCTCTCAGGCTCTGTTGTCCCCAGAGCGTCCCCATGGCCCTGTCCCAAAGTGTCTGCATGGTCTCGATGTCCCCAAAGTGTCCCCATGGCCCTCTCCTGTGGGGTCCCCATGGCTCTGTCACCCCCAAAGTGTCCCCGTGGCCCTGTTCCAAAGGGTCCTCATGGTTCTCTTGTCCCCAAATTGTCCCCACAGCCCTGTCCCAAGGGTCCCTATGGCTCTCTTGTCCCCAAAATGTCCCCATGGCCTTGTCCCAAAGGTCCCTGTGGCTCTGTGGTCCCCAAGTTTTCCCCGTGACCCTGTTCCAAAGGGTCCTTGTGGCTCTGTTGTCCCCAGAGTGTCCCTGTGGCCCTGTCCCAAAGTGTCCGCTTGGCCTCGACATCCCCAAAGTGTCCCCATGGCCCTGTCCCAAGGGGTCCCAGTGGCTCTGTTGTCCCCATCACTGCCGCGAAGGGTCCCCATGACCGTGTCCCCAAGGGTCCCCGTGGCCCTGCCATCCCTGCCACTGCCCCAGGTCCTGGGATGTCCCCGGCAGGCGTAGGGTGCTGGGGACAGGGTGGGGTTGGGGACAGAGCCTCGAGTGGTGGCAGGACACAACCGAGCACCTTGTGACGGTGACACCAATGCTGTTTATTGCCCGGGGAGGAGACACCCCACGGGATTGGGATCAAACACCCTTCAGAAAGACCCGGGAGATGGCGGTGGGTGACTGGTGACACGCTGGGGACATCGGGCCAGCCGGTTACACGCTGGTGGCCTGAGCGTCGTCACCACTCTCGTCCCAACCCCGTGCCCGCATCCAGTGTCCCGTCCTCCCGGGG